GCATCACCCTTGCTCAGTTAACGAGGCCAGAGAGATGAAGTCATCTATCCACCTGGAGGCCCTTTCCTGTCAGCCACTGTTCTGAAAGGTGGAGGATTGAGCAGGGAACCCTCCACAAGAGTTTCCACCAAGGTGGCTCCAAAAATTTTCGTAAAATTGTTTCTTGATTTTTATTTTATTTGAAATTCAGAGAAACAGAGATGGATCTTTCATCCACCGATTCACCAGCCAGATGCCCAGAACTCAATCCAGGTGTCCCATGTGCATGGCAGGGACCCAAGCACTTGAACCATTAGCTGCCTTCTAAGATGTGCATTAGCAGGAAGCTGGATCAGAAGCAGCAGAGTCAAGACTTGAATAAGGCACTCTGGAATAGGATGCATGAATCATAATGGTAACCTAACCACTGCACCAAAACTTCTTGCCTGGCATCCAAGTTTCTTTAAAATGAAAGGAAGGAGGCTATTATTGACACCACTGATGTATCAAGGAAAGATCCAGAGAACCTCATTAACTCTACATAGTTATTCTGATAGGATCAATATCTCTATTACAGTAGGATGTCTTAGGAGAAGGAATGATAATTTTTTGAAGACAAATTTATTTTATTTTCATTGGAAATACAGATATACAGAAAGAAGGAGATACAGAGAGAAAGATTTCCATCCACTGGTTCACTCCTCTAGTTGGCGAGAGCCTAACCAATCTGAAGCTAGGAGCCAGCCATTTGGGGCCTGAAATGAAGCAGCCAGGATTTGAACTGCTATTTATGTGGGATGCTAATTCTGCAGGCAGAGGTTTAACCTACCATGCTATGGTGTCAACCTCTTGATTCTATTTTTCCCCTCAACTTTCTGAGTACCGTTTGTATACCTGGATCTGTGTCCAGAGCCTTGCTTCTTTTGTATTTATATGTAATTCCCTGCACCAATGCCACTCTTTCCTTTCAAAGCCTACTCTAGTGTTTTGAAATAGACATTCTGACTGTGTAAGGCTCTGCCTTCATTGTTCCTCTTCAAAAATCATTAATTTGTCTACAGCATTTTTCTTTAAGAACTTTAGAAGCAGCGTCTCAAACTCTATATGTAATCCATATGAAATGAGGTTTCACTTAATTTATAGACCAGTTTAGGGAGAATTTCTGTCACAAAATTGCATTTTTAATCTAGAAATCTGATATTCATATCCACATATAGAAGTGCATCACATCCTTTAAGGTTTGGAGCAAAATATGAATCATAGAATAGTTTTTTTCTGGTTCTGTGAAGACTGCTATTGGTATTTTGATGAATATTGTGTTTGCACCTGCAAATTGCTTTAAAACATATGAACATTTAATTATATTAAATCTGGGAATTACCTGTTGAATAAGGCTTTGATGGAGTTCACTTTACTACAATGGCTCTATACTACGCTGGGACTGGGCTGTGAGTGTTTTTCATTTCCTCTGTGGATACTGATCTATTTGATTTTAAAACATTTGAAGGTAAAACCATATATTCATCTGGATATACAAACTTACTGTCATGATTTTATACATACTCCTATAACATTTTAAAAACATCTTTATAGTTATACTTTCAATTCTAACATTTGCTTTTTTGTTTTGCTAAGCATTGTCTATTTTATTGATCATTTCAAAGACTATATTTTTGTTTTATTGATCTAGTCTACTGCTTTTTAGTTTTACTCAACTTTATTGTGTTCTACTTCCCTTGGGTTTATTTAATGGTTTTGTCTGCGTTTTTGAGTGAAATGCTTACTTCATTCATTTTTCATGTTTTTCTATATATACATATGTATACATATAAATTTAGTTAAAACTAAATGTTATGTTCTTCCAAGTACATCCTACTAAGTAATAGAATAGTTTGCTGTTTATTTAGGAATAGTTTACAACTTAAAATTGATATTTTTTCAGAAATATGGTTTTAACCAACCCAGAAAGACAGATTAAAATATCAAATTGGTTAGATTTATTTTCCATGCCCTTTGGCTGCTCATTTCTTAATGTTCTTACCCCATGGGAAGATCTCTTTGTGGACTCTAGAGTTGTTATCCATGGCACATCAACTGAGTCAGTGTGGTTGATACCATTATAAGCTGTTAAATTCACACCTAATGAAGTTTAAAATTTCAGATACATACTATAATGCTGGTAGAATTACTAATAATTTTGTGGTTTGAGAAATATTGGTTATTTGTATTTATGGGTTTTCTATCACTTATCCTCATGAAAAATAACTATCATATAGTAATCCCAAACTTTACAATAATTAATTGCCATTTGGGGTGTCCCAGAATCTGCTTGATTTTCACTGTTGAGTTGTATTGAATTGCTCATTAGAGACAGGTGAGGGGGCTGATGCAGTGGATCAACAGGCTAATCCTCTACTTGTAAGCACCAGCATTCCATACGGGCACTGGTTTATGTCCTGCCTGCAGCATTTCAAGTTTAGCTTTCTGATTATGGTCTGGGAAAGCAGCAGAGCATAGTTCAAGATCTTGGGCCCCAGTATCCAATGGGAGAACAAGAAGAAGCTCTGGCTCCTGGCTTCAGATTGGTTCAGCTCTGGTTATTACAGCTATTTGGGGAGTGAAACAGCAGATGAAAAAATCTTTCTCTGACTCTCTTCCTCTTAGTAAATTTCCCAATCAAATAAAAATAAATAAATTTTAAAAAAGATAAGTGAAAGTGGGTTCACATGATTCCTATTCTAGAAGCTCTCTTTCAATAGCACCTCATCCAGGACAGATACCAGAGAGTAAAATGTGGAAAAGCTTGTTGCTATCTACTTTAAAAAAAAAAAAGCACACGTTTATTTTTGTTGGAAAGGCAGATTTTGAGAGAAAACAGACAAAGATATTCCATCAGCTGGTTCACTCCCCAAATAGCCACATCAGCCAGAGCTAAGCCAATCCAAAGTCAGGAGCCAGGATCTTCTTCCAGGTGTCCCATGTGGGTATAGGATCCCAAGGTTTTGGGCCATTCTCCACTGCTTTCCCAGGCCACAAGCATGTTAATCCTCCACAATGGCACCAGCACCCCATATGAATGCTGGTTTAAGTCCCAAGGCTGCTCCATTTCCGGTGCAGTTCCCTGCTTACAGTCTGGGAAAGCAACAGCGGATGGATCAAGATCTTAAGCCACTGTACCCACATGGGAAACCATGAAGACGTTCCTGGCTTCAGATCAGCCCAATTCCGGTCATTGCAACCATCTGGTGAGTGAACCAGCAGATGGAAGTTACCAGGCCCCTCCCTTGTGACTCTGACTTTCAAATTAAACAAACAAACAAACAAATAAATAAATAGCAGTACAAATATCATCTTATGATTCAAACTTTCACAAGATTATGAAACTCCCTTATCATAGATTCCTGCTTCTCACCACTAAAACTACTGCGCTCTTATAAAAACACAGCACAAAACACACTCCTATCACTTACGTTAATCTTTCAATTTCTCTGGAATGGCTTCAATACCATTATTTCCTTTCTACCACTCATTCCTGAAAATGTTGTAACCTTGCATCTGTGCTGGCTACTCTTCACATCATGATCAGTAACATCCAAGCAATCATTTATCCACTCAACGCCTGTGTACCAAGTCTCAGTTATCTCCCAGGCACTGTTCCTATGCCTAGGGATTTAGCAGTGAAAAAAAATGGGGAAAAAAAATCCCTGTCCTAGTGGGGGGTTTATATCTTAAAAAAAAAAAAAAAGGCATTTTTTTTTTAATTGGAAAGAAAAATATACAGAGAAAAGGAGATAGACAGAAAGATCTTCTGCTGACTGGTTCATTTCCAAAATAGTTGTAACTGCCGGGGCTCAGCTGATCTGAAGCTAGGAACCAGAAGCTTTTTCCAGGTCTCCCATGCAGGTCCAGGGTCCCAAAGCTGTCCTCTATTGCCTTCCCAGGCCACAAGCAGGGAACTGGATGGGAAGTGCGGCAGCTGGGACATGAACTGGCACCCATATGGGATCCTGGTCCCAAACATCTACCCCAAAACTGCATTTTAAAATTTCTAGGTTATCTAAAATGAAGAGTATTATAGGTCTATCAGCAGATTGAAACAGGAATTTAAAAGATATATTTAATAAAACGAGAATAAGGGGCTTCTTGATAAGTACTCAAAATTTTAATATATACATGTTATATCAATAATTTATTTTTATCTGTTGTTTTACAGGTAGTTTGAGAAAATTATGATAAAAGTACTTTCTACTTACTTTGAGAATTAAGTTAATTAAATTAAATGGAATTAAATTAAATGGAACTTCAGTTTACAGTTACATATTTTTCTTAAAGATTTATTTATTTTACTTGCAAGTTAGATTTACTGAGAGACAGAAAGATCTTCTATCCACTGGTTCACTCCCCAAATGGCTGCTACAGCCAGAACAGAGCTGCTTGGAAGCTGGAAGCCAGGAGTCAGGAGCTCTTCCAGGTCTCCCACATGTGTTTAGGATACCAAGCACTTGGGCCATTCTCCTCTGCTTTCACAACCATTAGAAGAGAGCTGGATTGGAAGTGGAGCAGCTGAGACACGAACCAATGCCCATATGGGATGCTTGCACCACAGGTGGAAGATTAGCTTGCTATGCCACTGCATCGGCCCTGAGACTTCAGTTTATAAACTGTCAGACAGAGATTAAATTACAAATATGGGCCACAAAATAACAATGCATTCATGAATATTTTCTTGCTATTGCCTAGTTGGATCTTCTTTCAAAATCTGATAGGTGCTAGTTTCCCCAACTCTCAAACGATAAAAGTCACAAATAAGATTTTAAACCTCTTATCTAGGATATTAAAAAAATAGCAATATTGTGACAGCAGTGATTTTCTTAAAAGCATGATCCTGCTAGAAAAGTTACTTTAATAACAATGGAACAGGCATACTTTCCCACCCATGACATAATTTATCTGACTGTACTTACACAGTACTCTATGAAGACAGGACCTTTGGAAAAAAGATCAAAGCTTTATGCTACCCATGATTTTCATTTTTTATTATCAACACACAAAGTATGAGAAAAATAGCAAACTACTGTTCTTTAACTTCTGTGTTCTTCCTATTTCCAGTTGCTTTAAACACGACAGAAAGGCAACAAAGTCTATTACACTGAAGGCTAACATTATGTCCCCTCTGCAAAGAGTCAATAGTAAAAGCCATAGCTACCAAAAGAAATAATGATCACTGAAGAATCCCCTCAAGCTGTAATTTTTTTCTCACAAAGAACAGGTGAATTTGAATGATCTATTATTGAAGAGTTACTTTTTTCTTTTTAAGAACTTTTTTGCTTCTCTCAAAAGCTCTTGCACATCTTCCTTCTCCTCATCTTCCTTTCCTGGCTCCCAGTCGGGATCTTCATCTGTTGGATCACATTCTTCTTCATCTTCTTGAAAGCTGTCACTCAGGTCACAGTCATCAGGTTGCTCGTTATCTTCATCTACAGCATTTCTCACTGAGAAACACAAGATCGAGACACGTGTATCCATCATCACTCAACCGGCCATTAGAGATGTACAACTGTCAACTGTATTTCCGCAAGAAGAGAAGTTAATTTTATAAATACGTATTTTACTACTGCCATATTTAAAAAATACACTAAAACAGCAATTTGCTATTTATCAAAGGAATTAAAGTGGTCATTTGCTACTTATTATTCTAACTTCTCTTATAACAAGGCTGCTGAAACTACAATGGCCTATGCAATTCAAAACACTGGGTCCTTAATAATGCTGCAATTGGGGCAGATATTTGGCACACTGGTTAAGCTTAGAAGGTCCACATCCCATGCCATGCTTCCCTCTGTCACAAGGAAAGGATATCCCAGACAGAGGGTGATCCTTCAGCCTGCATTCCAGCAGGAAAACACACAAGGGACAGGCCACAGCCAACTTGCAGCTGCTCCATGAAAGACAAACAGGTTTATTTTTCATTAAGAGGCAATGGACATTGGACAGCAAACCTAGGAAAATGTGATTAACACCCCAGGGTTATGATCAATGAGACTACTGGAGTTTAGATACTTCCTATTTATTTTGTGTTTGCTTTTTCAAAATTTTATAATTAAGTTGAAAGGTAGATTTACAGAGAGAGAGAGAGGAGAGAAATAGAGTAAGAAAGAGAGTAAGCTCTTTCATCCTCTGGTTCATGCCCCAAATGGCCACAATGGCCAGCACGAGGCCAGGGCAGTCAGGAGCCTGGAACTGATCCAGTCTCCCTCATGGGAGGTAGGGGCCCTCATGGGAGGAATTTTGGCTGTCCTCTGCCACTTTCCCAGGTGCATTAGCAGAGAGCTGCACATTAGCAGGGAGTTCAGGCAGAAGCAAAGAAGCTGAGTCTAGAACTCATGCCCAAATGAGATGCCCAGAGGGAAGGAGATGGTTTTATCCCTGCATGATGATGGCCCCAGCACTTCAGGTACTTTGGGAAGTTTAGTTTTTATAGATTTCAGATATCTATATAGTTCATGTTTCAATAAATATTAGTAATGCTATGGTAACTGCCATTAGGATATCTACATTTCCAAACAATATTATTAAGGATGATTTTTGTCATTAAATTAATTTCTTCCCTTATTCCATTCACATGTATAATAAGATAATCTACAATAAATCAGTGGGAAAGTCTAGGATTATGTGGAGGCATTTAAGAATTAACTAGGACTTGGTACCTTGGCACAGTATGCTAAGCTTCCACCTGTAGCTTTAGTCCATGTCCTGGCTGCTCCACTTCCGATCTAGCTCCCTGCTTATGACCTGGGAAAGCAGTAAAAGACAGCTCAAGTCTTTGGGTCCTTGCACCCACATGGGAGATCCAGAATAATCTGGTTCCTGGTTTTGGATCAGATCAACTTTGGCCACTGTGGCTACTTGGGGAGTGAACCAGCAGATGTAAGATCTCTGCCTCTTCTTCTCTCTGTAAACCTGATTTTCAAATAAAATTAATAGTTAGAACTTTAAAAAAAAGAAACAACTAAGGGACATTTTCTGAGTGGCAGAAGTCAATCCCAGATGAACAGCTAAGAGTACTTTGGTATATGCTTTGGGTTACATTTTCCTAAAATGTTCACATGTAATAAATAGATATAACTTAGATATAAGCCAAGGAATTTGATAGAGGAAAATGGGTATAATAAAAAAAGGAAGTAATATGCCTGTCCTTTAACTCCTCTATAATTCAATACATTTTATGTGTATTTCTTGCTATTGGGTAAAGTAGGAGGTAGTAAGAATATCAATATCTCTATTTGTATCCATTTTCCTCACGGGAAGCAGCTCATATACATGACTTGTTTTTGAAGATGTGAGTGTGCGTGACTGCATGGCATATGGCAATGATGTCTCAGTAGCCTATTTTCCTTTACATTTACAAAAGATCTTGGGAGGGTTGTATGAAAGACTGACATAAAACTCGATCAAGCGTGAGGCACTCTCCAAACCTCATTTACCACTGCCTCTCAGTCTGCTTTGCTGGATCTAACTCAAAACTTTAGGTGTGAGATTACACCTTAGACAGATGATTCCTTAAAGTCCTGTAAGCTAATTTCCCAAATGTTTATCCTAAGCCCTGAATCATCACCCTGAATTCCAGACTCATTTATTCTGACTGCTACTGGCAAAACATCTCCAAAACTATAACTCAAGTCACTTCAGCCAAATTTGGTCATTTTCTTATCAGTTGTAACATATGACTTCTCTAACCATCCAACTGTCTAGCTGTTTTTGCAAGAAGCCTTGGGAGTCATTCCTGAATATAGCCTAGTCAAAGTCCAGCATCAGTATGCCAAGAGATTCTATTTAGCCTACCTTTCAGTGTTTCCATCACTTCTCACCACATCTGCTTGGACACCCTGCCTGGTTCAAATGCTGTTATCTTCATCCTGCATGGATTCTTGTCTATTCTCCACAAAGAGGTCAGAGACATTTACAATAGCTTTCTGACTCAATATAAATAAAATAATAAGTCCTTACTTGTTGGTCTTGGCTTCACAATAAGCCCACTGCTAACTTTCTGATCTTAACTCATGCCACTCTCTGCTTACTTTCTTTGCTCCAATTCCAATTGCTCTTTGCTGCTTCTAAAACAGTCCAAGCATAACCATCTCTAGACTATTCAACTCACTGTTTCTGCTGCCTGTCAAGCTCTGCCACAGATAATCATCTGGATACTCCCTCTTTGAGGTCTTTGCTCCAATGTCAGATTATCTGATGGTGCTTCTTTTATCCCCAATCTGAAATGATACCTCCCAGCTGTACACATATATGCACTTGCTATTCCATCTTTTAATACAGATTTATTTTTCTTCTTAGCAGCTATCATCACAATGATATCATACAGTTGTTTATATTTACATTGTCAACCATTCCAAAGAAACCTTTTCATACAAGGAAGCTTTTTAGTTAGGAGAGTTAAGCAAGTCAGTCATAAGGAGTCACATAATGGAAGAATCCTTACCCACGATCTTGGTATTATACAGAGAAAATGAACATTATTAAAAATTTTATTGAAGCACAAAAATAATAATATGAGATAGAACAGTGGCCATTTAATATTTTAAATCAATAGCAAAATATAACTTTTTATGGTTTTATATCTTGTAGTTGTCACTTCTTACAGATACACAAAGAATTAAATAGCACAATGTGATTTTTAAAAATTGAGAACCTATTGCATTTTCCTGAATTACATTATTATTATTACATTATAATAATTACAATATAATTGCTGAGTTTCTGGAAAAATAAAAACTAAGCTATTTCTTTCACAACAAGGTGAACTGGGAGAAAATTTTTTTCCTGCCTTTACTGTATTTCATAGAGTTTCTTGCGAAAGTTGCTGCTATTATTTGGTTGCTTATATCTAAAAAAATAACATGGTTAAAAAAAATGAATGCTGAACAAAGGGGACAGAAGTTCAAATATGTATTAGTAAGCCCATAACCCTATAACAATTAACCTAATGGAATTATTTTCTTAAATCTATTCATAGTGAGTAAGTGACCTCAAAGATCTTTTCTAAATCCAAAATTCTATTAAGGCCAACATATGAATCTTCTTCTACAGGTCACTGAAGCAATGTGAAATGTAAACACAGACAGACAGCTTGTCCACATGAAAGCAGAAAAAGGGAAATAAAGTGTCACTTATTTTTTAAAGCTGACGATTAATGCTTAACTATCAGAACAATGAAAATATCTTTTATAAAAGGTAATATAGCTTTCAACATATGTAAAACATGTTACTAACCACAGAGCAATCATTGCCTTTTTATTTCTGCAGGGGAATTTTTAATAACAGGTTAATTTTGAAGTTTATACTCCATATTTCCATTACAATTTAAAATTTTATAAGCAATTTTCCCTGCAAGAACTAAGTTGGCAGTGCTACTAAACAGAATGTCATGTCAGATTCCTCTTAAAATAAATGCTGATTTTACATGAGGAAAAATATTTTCAAGTTGGCTATTTTTCCAAGTAACTTTCAGAATATTAGAGCCTAAGATAGCTAATGCTTCCTAACAGATTGACAGCTCGACACAAAGAATTCTTCAGTTTCCTTTTCTTCTCCAGTAAATCTCACATTCAATATCTTGTGCCAAAACTAAGCATTGTTTGAAAAAAAATGTGGAAGGCTGATGAACTCTAAATTTAATTTGATATATAAGAAAATTTACAAATGACAGCAAACAAATCTATAAAAAAAATCCAGGATGAACTATACAAATTGTTACAGGTATAGAAGAACTTTATAGACTGAAGTGTTTCAGGAATGGTACAAACCAGATATTAAATAGTAAGAGTTGAATGTAATTTTTATAAAGTTGAAAAATCTGGGGACTTGCATTGTAGCATAATGGGTTAAGATAGAATCTAGGATGCCAGCATTCTGTGGACATTGGTTTGAGTCTCAGCTGCTCTACTTCCAATCCAGCTCCCTACTCACAGCCTGGGAAAGCAGTGGAAGATGGTCCAAATGCTTGGGATGCTGTATCCACTTAGGAGCCCAGAAGAAGCTCCCGGCTTCAGCCTGGCCTATCCCTGGCTGGTGTGGTCATTTGGAGGGAGTAAACCAGCTGATGGAAGATCCTTCTCTTTCTTTCTCTCTGTATTTATGTCTTTCAAATAAATAAATATATGATTTAAATTTTTTATGTTTATTTGAGAGAGACACAAGAGAGTGTGTTCATCTGATGCGCACTCCTGAGACAGTCTGACTATAAACCTGAGTCACTGCTATTCCCTTTGCCTCATCCCAGTTCCTACACTACAGTGTGTTAGTCTGCCAAAGCTTCTTGATTCTTCCTTCAAAATCTCTTGTATCTAATTCTACCACTCCACATTCACGGTGACCAGTCTAGTTCTGGCCCCTTATACAATTAATCTCCAGAAAGTCTACTTACCTCTGATTCAGATAACTTATCATCACTAGCTGAGTCTGGGTAAAACACTGCCAAGGCCAGGTCTTTGAGGACTCCCATATCTGGCATCAACACATTCTTCTAGCATCATCCACAGAAACATTAAAGACTCTTCAGTCATTTAAACTGACTCATCTTGGTAACTCTGAGCACAAGAAGTCTTTCTCAGTTTCCTTGGCCAAACTATTACTTCGGGATGCCTTATACCCACTCACCACAGTTAAGAACAAGGATGACTGAAATCCAACCACCTTAAAGACCCACTTAATTTGCAACCTCCACATCTAATGCATCCTAATAATCTCTAGTAGAAAATGTTGCTTCCTTATTAAGATTTTAGAACATCTTTCCAAAGGAGATAGTCAGATCTAGTGTTGATATTGATTATTAGTTCTCATATCACTGAAACCTGATTCACATGGATGCCATAAAACATAGGGATAAACGAATGGGAAAGTGAATCAAGATACACTAGCCCCAGCTGTTCCTAGCATGTGGGAGCTTTCTCTCTGCCTCCCAGACAAGTCAGGCAATGAATCAACACAGATAATCCTTACAGCACAAAGTCATGTTGTTAGTCAATGATTGGGGAAAAATCCTTGATATATAAAATATATATATAACACAACCTTTTCCCCTTTAATATAAGAAAATAATTAAGATAAGCAATTCAACAAATTTATTGAAATATATTTAAACATCTTTCATTGTATCTGGAAACTGCACCTAGATTACTCAAATATCTCAAGCTTCCTGTAAACTTACCTGGGAATGTATTATGTCTATATTCTATCTTGTGCTGGGGATTCTTCCTGGAAAAAGAAAAGAAAGTCAAAGTGAGATTTACTTATCCAATTAATAAAAAGTAGCAGAATTATTTAAATTAGACTCAAATACTAAGAAACCTCCAAATGAAAGTCGGCCCCAATTGGCTTACTGGAAAGCACTTGTTTTTGAATTACCGAGGAACTACTTTATGTCAGGTGCATTTCTAGACACAAAGAGTGGTGAACAACACAGAACTCTTATTTCAAGAACTTACACTTCAGATAGACAAGCACATTTCTTTTCTGAAACATATCATTTAAAATGCCTTCACATATATGTAAATATAATTTGAAACTATATATATATGACACAAATATCCAATGTGTGCTTGTATATACATAGATACAGTGCCCAGAAAAGCAATTTTAAGGCTCTTCTTGAACCCAAAGAAAAAAGTACTTAATGAACAGTGATTATCTGTTATGAGACAATGGGAAAGTCAATTTTGCTGGAAAGTTGGGAAATTCATATAACACTCCAAAAACAGACAGAAATTACAGGTTATCTGGGATTGAGGGACTGTTTCTTATTATATGTGCTCATCATCTTATTATTTTATTAAACATTAAATGTTTTGGTCCCTCATATACACAAGACATTCTCTAAATGATACAAAATAGTTTCAGCAGCAAAAATCCAAAGCATCAGTTGTTGTTCAAGAGTCGCTTGATTGCCCCTCTCTTAGGACACAAATGACGGAGCACTGGGGCAGATGCACAGCAGATAGCAGCTGAGGTGTACAACTTCCTAATATACTTGTGTCCAAGGAAATTGCTTATACAAGATGAAGATTTTATTTATCCATTCACTCATAAGCGTTTGCTGAACATTTTACTACATTTTCACTCAAAACAGACATTGGAACTAAACTAACAAGATGCACATGCCTTATGTGTGTTTGCCCTGGAGAGACAGAGTTGGGGTTGAGGCAAGACTGACATTAGTAAAACACTGTCTTTTATTCATTTATTTTTGTTTATTCTTAATGTGTCTGAAAAGCAAGAAGGAGCAAGAGGGAGAGTGGGAGGCAGAGAAGGAGGAAACTCTTCCATCATCCTAGCCAGGATCCCAGAACTCAGTCCTGGCTTCCATGTGAGAAGCTGTGACACACGTACTTTGCTTATGGCCTGCTGCCTCCCTTGGTGTACATCAGCAGGAAGCTGGAACATCAGAAGTGGAGCCCAAATTCAAACCCAGGTGCATAATAAGGGATGCAGGATCCTGAGCAGCGTTTTAACTGCTGCATCAAATGATAATCAACAGCCAGATAAACATTTCCTTCATTGAAAAATAAGAACTTTGGTGGAAACAGGAAGCATTCCCTATGCTGTTGTTTAGGAAACAAATACTAATCAAGCCTTAGATGTTCACTTCCTCAGAGTGAATACTCTGGTTCTTTAATTTGCCTTTCAGCTGGACAAATAAGGAAATTTAACACACAAACACATATATCCTAGGTTACAAACTTTTTTTTGCAGTTTTCAAGGTTTTATCTAAACACAAATAAAATGTGCACTCAAGCTAGCTATCCATTTTCTTCACTGTGCAGCCTGGCATCGGGGTCCGTAACTCGAATGGCCAGCTGGGCTGCTGGTTACAAACATTTTCTGAAATGTTTCTAATTGCTCTCATTCACTTTCATATTCCAGATCCATTTTGATAAGTAGAAAAGGCAATAGTCTCAAAGTGAAACTCTACCTGAAATCTAGTCTATGAATTACAGAATGTAACACCAAGGATGATCTGAGAGGCCGACCTGCCTCCAATCGTCAGGTGAGCAACATGGGCCTAACAAAGTGACATTTTCCCCCAACAACTGTGCTTTCTAACTTGGGTTAGCACCATATTAACAGAGGTCCAGATACACTAAGAGACTGGATTAAAAAACTTTCTGCAGTAATCAGGTGTTAAATGTTCCATTTATAAATTCCTTAACGGATCCAGTGTGAAAATGGATCTAACTAGCTTTATTTTCATAATTTTAAAACACATTGTGTTTAAACGATTTCATAATAAAATTATACTTCAAATGTTATATTTATCTATGCTGTGCATTAGGCACTACTTTTATATTAGTGAACAAAGTAAAATAATTTCTACTCATACAAAGCTAGTTGCTTAATAAATATTTGTCTTGTTTCCACTAATATCTAATATTTCATTTGCTCTAAATATTAGTTTTATCTTAATCCTAACTTATTAATAGGAGGCAATTATAAATATATAACTTTAGATTAGTTGATAAAATCTAGAATGATTTTACTTCCCAGCATGCTAGTCTTTGTTATACAGTTCATCTATGAGAATGTATGTATATATTTATTTACCTATATTTATATATTTTGTGCTTTGCATAAGACTGTCATATCAGAGAGAACATGATGTTTGTCTTTCTGGGACTGGCTATCATCACTAGGCATACCGCTTCCAGTTGGGGCCATTTTGTCGTAACTGTTGGGATTTCATTCTTCTTTATAGCTGAGAAGTATTCCATCGAGTAGATGTACCATAATTTATTTATCCATTCCTTTGTTTACAGGCATCTGGGTTGATTCCATGTCTTTGCTACTGTGAATTGTGCTGCTGTAAATATAGGGTTTCAGGTCACCCTTTCAAATGCAATTTCATTTCCTTTGGATATCCCCAGGAGTGGGATAGCTGGGTCATGTGGTAAATGAGTTCTCAGTGTCTGAGTCTTCTCCATGCTGACTTCCACAGTGGTTGTATTAGTTTACATTCCCACCAACAGTGGATTAAGGTGTCTTTGCCTATACCTATCATGCCATGATGTTTAAATAGCAGGAAGTTAAACTTGTAACTGTTATTAAGGGGCTATACTGTGATGAGGGGAAATGACAGGAGGGGAGAATAGGGACAGAGGAAGGGGTGATAAGGGATGAAACCCTAAACTACAATACTCTTTAGCAGAAAATTATTTTTGTAAAAATTAGAAAAATTGGGCCCGGCGCGGTGGCGCAAGTGGTTAAAGGTCCTCGCCTTGCACGCCCGGGATCCCATATGGGCACCGGTTCTAATCCCGGCAGCCCCGCTTCCCTTCCAGCTCCCTGCCTGTGGCCTGGGAAAGCAGTCGAGGACGGCCCAAGGCTTTGGGAACCTGCACCCGCATGGGAGACCCGGAAGAGGCTCCTGGCTTCAGACCGGCATAGCATCGGCCGTTGCGCTCACTTGGGGAGTGAATCATTGGACGGAAGATCTTCCTCTCTGTCTCTCCTCTCTGTATATCCGCCTTTCCAATAAAAAAATAATAAAAATAAATCTTAAAAAAAAATTAGAAAAATTAAGTATTGCTGCTTAAAAACTGTGGGAATTATGGAATATATTTTTAAGCATGGTGTTTTTTTAAATGCTTTTTAAAAAGATATATTTATTTTTACTGGAAAAGCAGATTTGACTAGTGTTTATCTTAAAAATTTCAATTGAAAACCCTAGACTCTTTATAACATCATCCAATAGAACTTTCTGTGATGAGGGAAATTTCTGTCAGTGTCCAACAGAGTAGCTACCAATTGCATGTGGCTACATGAGCAATAAAGCTGATTAACTGAATTTCAAATTTTATTTTAATTAAATACACAAAGGGGGTCCTCTCTCTCCATATAAGATTAACTTAAAATGAATAAAATACAACAGAATACTCTTTCATACAGGCTGATCCTCAAAAAAGTGAAACTCCTATAGGTAGAAATGCTAATATTGAAAGTAAGAGGATGGTGACTAAACTCATAGGAGAGTAGAGGCTAGAATCAGGGAATCCCCCAGCTAGAATCCTAGAGCAGCACCTCCTTACACGCTAAGTGCCAGCTTGCTGATCAGTACACAGGAGCTAATAACAGAACCTACCCTTCTGTGTGGATTTCTGAGACAACAGATGGCAGGGCCTTAGACTAAGAGCTTTGCTGGGTGGTAAGCAATCAATGTGAGCATTGCTTCTTGGCCTCTTGGCTAAGATCAAGTGCAACAATCAATGTGAGACCTTGATTCACTCACTCTCACTTCAAAAAGCTGTCACAGGACACTTATTATCAGGCCCTGTGTCCAGTATCAGTGACTCTCCTCATTGCTAATAATTCTTTTGAGGGAGGGGGGAGGTAACTTTTTGTATAAGAATGCAAATGCATAATTAATTGGTGGTCATAACTCCACATTTATAAGAAGTGGGGGAAAATGATTGTTATAGACGATGATGTATTTGTACTAATTAACACAAATTTGACCTTTCAATGTGAAAGAAATACAAAAGGAAAAAAAGAACAAACAAACTGAACAGCCTAGCTGTGATGAAGGCAGCTGCAAGTGAAGAAACCTGGGTGATGATTTGTGGGATGATCTTTCCTTACTGCACATGCTGACACAGGCCATCAATTCGTTTCATTCTGTCTTGAAACTGCAAGGACTGCTCAGGGAGGGAGCAACAGAAAGGAGGAGACATGAATACCAAAAGTTTCCTTCATCATTAATCTAGGGAAAAACATTAGTCATCTGAGATATTATTTTAATAATTTCTTATTTTGAAAAATATTCAAGTCACTAAATAGTGAACAAAAACAGCACATTGAAGTTCCATATAGTTTCATCCAGGTTCTTCTATTGATACCTTACTCTTTCTACAATCATTTGCATTTTAAAGGTTTTTTTTTTAATATATGCCTGCTTCAGTACCACATAGTCCTCTTTTTCCCTGCTCTGCCTTTAACAGAATAAGATTATTGAAAAGTTAAAAATGGTTTCAATCATTTGCTGCTGGAGCCTCCTTCAAAAGCAGTTTCAGAAACTCTCAGGCAACTAAATGTCAAGCTTTAAAAACAAGCAGAGAAGTGGAACTCAGGGCATTAGTAGATACTCAAGCACAATCTATGCACCACATAAACCCTGGCTTAAAAGACCGCCTGCATCACTCATCAGGCCACAAAGATTTAAAGGGAAAGGAACTTTCTCAAAAGGCAAAGTGAAGAAAGAGTATCAG